TCTACCACTTGAGCCACAGCACCACTTCTGGTATTCTGGTGGTGTATTGGAGATAAGGGTCTCACATACTTTCCTGCCTGAGCTGGCTTTGACCTGTGATCCTCAATTCTCAGCCTCCTCAGTAGCTAGGATTACAGGCATGAACCACCAGCACCCAGCTCTTCACACATTTTTAAAGGCACAAAACTAGACATATTTTAACCTCTGTCCATTCCTCCCACAGTTAACTGTGGAAACTTGTAGGGTTCCAGCAGTGCCCTAATCTGGGCCAATGATATTCCTGATGTTCTTGTTAGTGCTGCTATAGACTTGATTTCTCTCTAACAGGTGTGGTTTGAGATCTGGTATTGCCTAGAAAACCAACTAAAGGTATTTGCAAGTGTTAACCAAGTTCTGAAATCAACTTTGTAGATGTCTAATTCTAGAGTTATATTGCAAAAAGATTTGGAATCCACTTATCTCCTCAACAGCAAAATCCAGAGCTAATAAAAAAACTTGGTAGCTATTGAAGATAATCTGCAGAGTGAACACAGAAATTTAGGAGTATTTTTTTAATTTATTGTGAAAATGCCATACATAGGGATTACAATTACATGGGCAAGGAATGAGTGCATTTCTTTTTTTAAGTTTTTTTATTGTGAGAATACCATACAGAGGACTGACAATTACATGGGCAAGATAATGAGTACATTTCTTATCAAGCATTGTTGCCTCCTCTTTGTTTCCCCTTCCCATCCCTTCCCATATTCCCATCTCCCCCCACCCGATCCTTCCCCTACCCCCCACCAAAGTGGTAAAGTTCGTTTTTCGACATAATGACTTGTACATTTCATTGTTGCAATGGGTCCACCTGTATCCCTATTTAAACGATTTGTTTTCCCTTTCCCCTCCACAAATTATAACAACATCAAAGACAGTAAAAGCATGGGTTATACCGTGGGGGAGGGACAAACAAATCAACAAAAAAATCATCTTATAAATATGTTAGAAACAATTGCATGAAATGAAAAAAAAACATTTGAATACTTATTTTGGGGTTCATTCCCCAAACATCAACTTATCTGACCTTTTCTGCTTGACTCAGACATATACTACTTATTGCAAATAAAGGAAACCATGAGACCTATGTTTCTTTGGGCCTGGCTTACTTCACTTAATATAATTGTTTCCAAGTCTTTCCATTTCCTACAAATGGGCCAATGTCATTCTTTCTGATGGAGACAGAGAATTCCATTGTGTATATATACCACATTGTCTTGATCCATTTATATACTGAGAGGGATCTGGGTTGGTTCCATATCTTAGCTATGGTATGAGTGCATTTCTTATCAAGTATTGTTGCGTCCTCCTTTGTTTTCCATCCCTTTCCATCCCTCCCCCTGACCCCTTCCGGGACAAAGTTGTAAAGTTCATTTTGGACATAACAACTTAAATATAAAATAAATAAATAGTAATGTCAGAATTAAAAATGCACAAAGAGAGATTTCCCGGAAGATGGCAGAGGAGAAGCTGGAAGCTAAACAAGCTCTCGCATAGAAAGCAGTTTTAGTGTTCCAGTGAACAGTCCTAAGCCAGAGAATCACACCAAGTGGGCCATCACAGTACAGAGTTAGGCCAGAGAGGAAAACTCCAGGCAAGGAGACAGATCTGAACACTTGCCAGCAGCTGCGGCTGCAGTGGCAGCAGCTGTAGCCTCCATACCTGCAACACAGAGAATCCGGGATGAAGGCACCAGAAGCTGCAGGCAAGCCAATTCTACTCAACACTAGCAAGAACTGACAAGGACAGACATCTTCATCCTTCAGTTCCCAGACGAGAGAAGACCCAGGAACCAATACTCTGGCGTGAGTAGAAGCCTGAGATCCTCACTCCCTCTCAGAGAGCAGAGGAGGGAAGGCCACCCCTCCCCCACCACTACCAGAGATTTCCATCTTTGATACTGACAAAGGCCTGGCTGAGCAGCTAGCTCCAACTCAGGCCTTGGAAGAAAAAAAGAGTCATTTAGCAGGTCACAGGAACTTAACCTGACCTGCCAGGCTCAGCTCCACCCAGGGAAAAGTCACACAGCCCAGGCCACCAGCCCCAGGAAGGGCTTTCTTCACTGGGTAAACAGAGCCAGAGGCTTCCCCTGCCTACAGCAGCCTTGACAATCAATTGAAATTCAGTAAACATAAACCCTGAGAATGGCTCCAGGCTGGGCTCTGTGAGTGTCTCAGAAGCTAGCCTCTCAGGGAAAAGCTACTGTTTGCTGAAAGGCCTCAACTCTACCAGAACCTAGCCTCATCACCACATCTCCAAACTTGAGGAAAATGCCATCTCCCTCTTTTGTGATACTCAAAGCAGATCTACCTCCCACTGAACTAGCCTGGGAGGAGGATCACAAAATCCTGGGTAAAGCAGAGCATTTTCTGCCTGCTCAAACTAACCAACTTAAGAAACCAACCAAGCCATAGGAAAATCAAACACCACAAGCAGACCAGAGACTCCAACTAGAGACTGGTTATGGACACAAGGGTGATACAGGATCTTCCCATTCCCCCCCCCAAAAAAAAAAAAATCAAAGAACTCTTTTTTGTACCTTTTATGTAAAATTTTTTCTAAAATTTTTTTTAATTTTAAATTTTTAACATTTTTTAAAATTTTGTTTTCTATTAACTTATTTTTCTTCCTCTTATAATTTTTATTTTAGGGATATAAGTGTGTGTGCTTTTTTTCTTCTTTTTTCTTTTTTTCATTTTTTTCTGTTCTTTATTTTAATTTATTTTGTTTAGTTCTAATGACCTTTTGATTCTCTTTTTTTCTTTCCTTCTCAATCTTTTCACCTTTTCTTCTCTTTTGTTCTTCTTTACATGACTTAATTGCTGTTCTGCTCATCCTCAGATATACCCATAGTCGATTATTAGACCTTATCCCAATTGTGTACACACTTAATCCAGAAAATTATTACTCAATTAATCTCTTAGACTTAAATTCCTTAATAGCAGTATTACCTTTATACCTATATATTTTAAGCATTTTTATTTTTAAGTTTTTCATGTCTCCTTTCTATACCTATCCATATCTTATATTATCCACATTCTTATATGAATATTACATTTTTACATTAGCATAATTTTTAAGTTTCTCAGTGTTTCACTTTCTAATTTTTAATATTTGTTTTTCTATATTTTCTTCTCTCTTTTTTTCTCTTTCTTTTCTTCTTTTTCTCTCTCTCTACTATCATTCTATCCAACCTATTTCCCCTTTGAGATTAGGACTTAGTTAACTCAACCACTGCCTTTCCACATCCCTCTGTTCCTATTTTTACTCACATCTCTCCCTAAACCTAATAATTTCTAGCTTGACAAATTCTTCTTTATGGTTCATAGCCCATTAATACACAGTTGTTTGATGTTGAATAGATATATCTGTTGAACTAGAGTGTATGTTTAGACTTTTGACAGTGCAACTACAGACTTTGGTTAATGCTTACCTTAAGATACTATTCTAGCACAAAAATGGTGTTACTTTCATCCCAAATGGGCAGGGAAAGCTGGAAAAACACAAGAAAAATGGCAAGTCCGGGTATCTCAACTCCCACTCATAATAATCAGGGGACAGAACAGATAATGAATAATCCAGAGGAGAGTTCCCAAAAAGCTCTACAAACACTACTGGTAAACATGGTAAATGAAAAGATTGAAAACCTGCAAAGGATTCTGTATGAGCATGACAGGGAGAGAGAGGAGGCAAACCAAAGGTCAATACAGGAATATCATGAGCGTGAGGAAGCTACTCAAAGATTGATAGATGCATTGCATGAGCAGCTTGAGAACACTAAAAGAGAAATAAAAGAATGGTGTGAGCAGGCTGAGATCAGTCAAAGAGATAGACAGGAATTGTATGACCTGGCTGAGAACAGACAAAGACAAAGTCGGGAATGGCATGAGCAAGCTGAAAACAAAAAGAGAGCTAAAGGAATCTTGTGAATATGAGGAAGCTAATCAAAGAGTAATATAGGAATTGAGAGAGCAGGATGAGAATACACAAAGATCACTTAAGGCATTCATGAAATCCATAA